AATGTAAAACAAGAAGCAATGGGTGGAAACTAATCAAGGAGATATTTTTAAGATAGAACATGCCGTACACCATTTCTGACAGATGGCAGTCCAGTCTCTTCTTCAAAGACTTCAGTGATGAAGCTGCCACAACTTCTGAAGGCAACTTCTGTTCCATGGGTTGATTGCACTCACTGTCAGGAACTTTCTCCTTATTTCTAGGTGGTTTCTCTCCTTGATTAGTTTCCACCCATTGCTTCTTGTTTTACATTCAGGTCCTTTGGAGAACAGTTTGACTCCCTCTTCTTTGTGGAAACACCTGAGATATCATGTCTCCCCTAGTCCTTCTTTTCCCTGCAACCATTCTTCATATGTTTTAGCCTCCAGTCCCCTAATATTCTTGGTTGCTCTTTGCACACATGGTGGAGTCTCAAAATCTTTTTATAGTGTGATGACCAAAACTGGATGCAGTGTTTTCTAAGGCTTTATAGAGTAGTATTATTACTTCATGTGATCTTGATTGTAGCCTTCTGTTAATGCAATTTAGGATTGCTTCGGCTTTTTTGGCTGCCACCGCACACTGTTGGACCATATTTAATGTTCAAATCAGCCATGGCTTCACAATGAGGAATAAATACTCTCAGTGAGTGTGTATCAGTGATGGCTTCCGACTGGTTTTGACCGGTTTGGCTGAAGCGTTAATGGTTTGGCTGGAAATGGCAGTGACCCAGGCCTGCCATGCCCCTGAACTGGTTCTCCAGGCAGCATCATAGGCACCACCAGCCTGTTTTTCATTTCTTTTCATGTGCAAAACAATTTTTATTGTACTGCACTTGTGTGCAGAGCACATATCAAATGCGTAGACAGCATGTCTATGAGTAAACCGGCAGTAGTGCCTGCAGGAACTCATCCCTGGTTTTTGTTTGTGTGTGTGTGTGTGTGTGTGTGTGTGTGTGTGTTTGTGTGTTAAAATGTCCATTCGTGCAGTTTTCATTTTCAGCAAAGGTCTGAGGCACCGTTATACATTGTAGAAACTTCCTCTGGATACAAACACCAATGATACAGCATTTTATCAAAAATTCTGGGCTTTACGGTGAGGATTATAACCTCCTGACCTGTGAAATTTTCCTGAGAGATTTCAGTGAACTATTGTGGAAACAATAATAAAAAAAATCATGTCTCAGAAATGAGAGAATATCTTGTTTTATTCCCTAGCCCATCCCCCACTGAGTGCAGATGCCATAGAGTTTCAATTGACAACACTGCCCCACAGTGTCAAAAGTGAGGAGGGGAGGAATTTCCTAATATTTCCTCAATATCAATATGGCAGTTTGGATATTTAGAAAGATTATCCTATAGTTTCATTTCCTCTTTTCTACCATGACAGTAATGGACTATTTTTGATTCCAGTTTGTTTCTAAAACCAGACCATGTTATAAACAATGAAGGTAAAATTGGAGTTTTCAAGCTATTTTTTCCACTTTTTGTTTTTTTCCAACAAACTCTGTAATTGGATTCCCAGCACAAAAAAGTCTAAAANATTCCACAACTTCTGACAAGGTATCAATGCAGTAGAGAATTTATTCTCCTTACTACATCAAGAGTTGGGAGATCAGCTACACAGTTCCTCCTTGATCAAGACCCACATGCCAGCCATTTGGAAGCCCGCCCTTATTGATAAACAAGTCCCTAACATGATTAATGACTATCCTTACATGAAACACAAACCACCAACCAATCAGAACACACCTCCACCCAATCAGAACACAACCAAGCTCCCAACCAATCAGCTCAAACCCCCACTGGCAGTTAAAAGGATGAAACAGATGAGATCTCACATTGCTCCTGGAAGCACGAAACCTGAAGATGATGAATGAGACTTCGTCAAAACGTCGCCAAGACACTTCTAATTTTACGCAGGACAAAACCCAAATAACCAAAGACCTACATACTAACACACACGAAAACCTCAGAAAACAAATATGTGTGTGTGTGTGTGTGTGTGTGTGTGTGTGTTTGTGTATGTATGTATGTATGTATGTATGTATGTATGGAGAGAGAGAGAGAGAGAGACAGAGAGAGAGACAGGGAGAGAGACAGAGAGAGAGACAGAGAGAGAGTGTCACAACCCCTGGTATGCCCAAATATGGGAGGAAGTTTATTGCTTCCATTCTCTGTCTATCGGCCGTCCATCCTTCTGAGGTTGGTGAAATGAAGAACCTGATTATTGGAGACAATATGCTGAAAGTGAAGTGTAAAGAATAATAGAGCAATATATAACTGTTATTCCTTTTATTACTGTCTCATCATGTACCAAAACTTATTGTGTAAGTTCCTCTTTTCCTAATATGTCAGATGCCCTCTTCATTGGCATAACAGAATTCCTTGCAATAAAATTGAGATTACGGGCAAGTCCTTACGATAGTCAAGACAGAGATATTTAATTATTAGTGCAGAGGAAAATGAAAAGGGTTGCTTTTCGCTAAATGCTTTCGTACATTTCAAAGTGGACACTTTGGGGCTGATCCTCCTAAGTCAAAAAGTATACTTGCACAAAATGGGACCATTGGATATTTATTTTCACTTTAGTTTCCCTATTAAACAAGACAGTGGAGGCTTTCAAGACTTATTCACTCTGCACTAATAATTA